ATTCGTTCGAATTACGGGTGGTCAAAACAAATTTTCGAACAAGTAGATTTTGCCTACGTCCGTGTATTCCCTTGAAGCTACATTTGTCAATCTTTTCTGTTGACAGCGTGGTCTTAAACTGACCATTCACATCCATGAATTGAGCCACTAAGCCCCATCAAATTAAAAAAGCGTTAAGGATGAAAATAAGTCAAGACACAAAATTGTCCAAAGAAAAGCCTTGTGCATGCAACGAGTGAACCTCGAAGCAACGCGTGGATACGTGTAAGATTTTCCACTCCGAATAATACGCATAACCCAGAAGCCACAATAGAAGCGGTGGTTTTTTTTAATCAACATATTCTGTTAGTTTTAAATCATTAAGTTTTACTGGATGATGATCTGAAAGCGTTAAAAATTGAAGAACCTTGTCCTTCCACAAGGAAAACAGGAGGTTTTGAAAGAGAAATCAAGTCCATGCACAATTAAAAACAAGTTAGTCACCAGCATTACCAAAAAGCCACTGACGCAACAGCATTATTCGGATCCCTTAGTGAAGTACAGAGCGGAACATACGATAAAAAAAATTGAACAAACTTTTAACAGCCCTACTGGCACAAAAAAGAAGTGTATGGTCTTCAAGTTCTGAGATGGACTGCTTGATTGCAGCGGTACCATCAGGCTAGTCACTACATACCGGCTGACTGACTAATGCCTTTAAATAGGAGGACATGCTGGTAGCAGCAAAAGGTGCCGCATAATTGCTGCCACAATCGACTTCGAAAGTTAATCAGATTCTGTATAATACAACCTGACATTTGTCTGAAATTTTTTTTTCATTATGGCAAGGATTCAAAACAAGGCTGTCGATGCCAACGACGCACTTAGAACAACTGGGACAGTCTCGCAAGGTGCTTACCGACGTAAAAAGCAATATATTTTCAGAAGGGGATGGCATTGATGAAATGTTCTAATGTGTCTAACAGCGCAACATATGCGTACACAGCAAAAAAAACCAAATAAACTGAAAGGTAGTGAAGAAATGAGCAGGAAACGGGACACGTGTGCACGCATACAGGCATCAACGCACCATAGCCGTCAGCGGTACCAGATTTCTGTGAAGACTTCACCCGTCGGTAGCGTTTCTTTGAGGTGTCTTTCACACCCTGTTGAGGCGCCATTCGGTTGCCTGGGTTAAGGAGGGAGGATGAAGAAAAGCATGAAGTTCTAGTTAAGAACAAAATGCAGATGAGAATTTAAACAAACAGAATGTAATAAAGAGCTAATTACCTCCCTTACGAAAACAACAACCTGGAAAAACTATACAAGGTAGCGAGTACTCTGTTTACTATCCTGTAAAAGTAAAATCTTACCGGTATTCATACTACTGTCATTAGTGACCTGTGCTGGGTCGTGGACGCCACTACCAGCAGGGTTTTCCAGTGAAGCAGCCAGTTTATCTGACGAGAGAAATTAACAAAATGGAAGAAGATGAACCAGAATGGTGATAATTACGATGATGATTAATCCAAGCGGTGTGATTGACTCATCACGCACCTCGAGGTTACTGCAACGGCCATGTTTGTGCGCGTGGAAATGACAGCGAGAAAAGTTAGCAGTGTAAACACGACTGAGGGAGAGGTCATGGATATGAGTTGTACACATGCTGCAGTCCTCACCCCGTTACATGCCCATGTTAGAATGTACACCGAGGTGAGTGATTGGAAGAGACTAAGGCTCTTCAAAGTTCATTATCAGTGTTCCACAGTTTAGTTACAGTTAGATTGAGGCATGAAGGTGTTTATATACATTTTACCCTCGGCGAGCTCACCTCTCCGCCCCCTTGAGCTATGGTGACGGATTAAAAATGTAAATGACGCCATGAGGGGTGTCCAGTTCGCAACGCCTGGGAAACGCAAAGCTCACCTGAACCCATCTCCGTCAGTTGATTGCGGGCAGGCCCGTTAGAGGATACCTGACCACCGGTCTGCCTGAAAATAACACCGGGGATTTTCACTGTGACTCGACTCAGATCAATCTCCTTGCCGTGAGAGTTTTGGACGTAATCCTAAAGGGAGCCATACGAAAAGGGTCCACGGTTTAGAGGCTCGGGGGTCAGTAGAAGTGTTATTTGAGGGCGTGACATATGGACGAGTATTTTATGCAAGCTATGGACACCATCAAACACTCGGATTCATACACATGGCCAAAACGAGAGCGCCAAGATTTATTAGTCATCGGGCACGCGCACACTGTCGAAATGGCGGTGTTGAATTGGAGTAAGGGAGGGAAAACGTGACTGCAAAGCCAAATTCACCCCCTTCATAATCCCGAACTAACTAGCTAGTGATTTTTTACACCAAATGGCACATTAAAGACAACCACGTGTATCTCTAAGGCAGGAAAAGAAGCAGAGGTTATGGGGGGGGGGGGGGGGTAAACTGGAGATGGCTGGCAAAAGTGTTTACCTGGATACTGGGATGATAGATGAGACGAGCGTCATCTGTCAGCGCGACGTACTTCTTTGTCTTCCACTCCTTATTCAATGGCTTGCAGGTCCGTTTGTACAGGTAGCCCTGTGGAGGAACATTAAATGCTTTTAAGCGAACATCCGTCTTAGAAAGCTGTGATTCCCTAACCTAATTGAGAATGCGAGTCTACGCTTTACCTACATCTGCTCGAAACCATTAAGTGGAGTGCAATGATACCTTGATTACAAAGGGAGGCAAAACATGTAGACCCGTGGACTTAGGAGCATCCATACTTCTTTTACATCGACTACTCATATAAGCTTAGGGTTCCAACCTTGTGTTTTGTGTAATACCAAGTATAGTCATGAAAAGTCTAGGCAAAAAGTACACACAAATGGATGTTACAATTAAAACAGGCTTTTTGGGGAAACCAATAAATCAACATGGATGGGGTGAGACCTTATGACCGTAAAATTTCACACAGCCATGAAACAAAATAATACATGGGTCGATGGAGCCAAAATATTTATGCTAATTTACCAAAGATACACTAAAAGATAGTAGAATGAAGGCAAATTTTGATTCTATCAAAATCTACCTTGAATTGTAGAGGGGAGAACGTGGTAAATTAAAATTCAAGTTAACGTGAAAGGGAATCCAGAAATCGTGGTTACGCATTAGTTAAGTGCTCCGATATAACTTAAGTATTAATCGTGTAAGCGAAACCTCTGGAATGTAAGGAAACACATTCAGGAATGAAAGTAAAGTAATCATACCTGCTTAATGGGAATGGATCTACCACTGCCGATCCCGTCCACCACCTTCTTCTCCTTCTCCCGTGCATCATCCGTTTTCCTCTAAAATAGCAAACAGTTTGCTAGAGGCGACAGCAACAATCGAGGGACGTACAAAGAGGTTTGACTTGGGCCTTGACTTCCGCGATTGAGTGGGCGTACTACTAGGAGTGAGGGGGTCCCTGGCTTCGCCTCGCGGTTCCTACGGTGACAGAAATATTGGGTGTTTATCCCTAATTTAAGGGATGCCAACGTGATAAAGCGAGAGGGAAAGAGGGTAGACGCAGGCAAACAAGAACACACACATACACAAGGCGGGGATAAGTTAACGCATCAATAACATGTGAGGTGGCAAGAAAAACAACATTAAACTCAAAAACCCGATGAGAGCCTGCTCTAATCAAGGGTGGTAACGGTGCCGGGCTAATGAAACGGACTACCCGCCGGTTGGATGACTCAGGTAGTGGTTATAGATGGGGGAAGGGAGCTATTCAACAAATCAGGGCTCAACATGAGTCGAAATTTCAAACACCATTGGCTTAAAAAGCCTCCAGCACACGGGGGTATTTACCACGATTACCAGTGGCTAATAGCCAAAAGTGAAACCCGGCAGAATCACATGCACAATAATTGCAACAAAACCCTATCAGCAGCGTACTGTTTTCTTCTAGGTGCGGAGAGACGTTGCCAAGCTTATTGAGGCGATGAAGTGAATCAAATTGCCAGCACGAGCGATGTATTCGAAATTTGGCACGAATTAAAAAAATAGAGAAGTGATTTGAAGCAGCGAGTTTGAGAGGTCAGACGGCCAAAAGCTCCGGACAAATAGTTAAACTAAAAAATCCGAAATGTCATAAGAAAGTCACCAGTGGAAGGGAAAAAAAGGTAGTAACAAGACCAGAGTTCAAAAAAAAATTAAGTCTGCGCTTTTACAGGTATTTCTTCCCGGGACAAAGAAAAAGACGCGAAAATGGTAGAATTTTCGCATTCACTTTCGACACAGGAGATTTGTTTTCTCAATGCCTAGTTTAGAGTGCTCTTCAGCGTGCCTGCTTGCTGCTGTTGATGCAACCGGATGCCATGAGATGAAGATGAAAGAGGGTTTCAAGCAAAAGTTTATTGCACAAATATATTACACAGCGTCGCAAGATCGAAAACACCTTGTATTTTCCCTTCAGAGCCCAACGAAGGCAGGGGTGTTCACTATGCCACAATTAAACGTTAGAGATTACCGATTGGACTAATTATAATTAACGGTGAAAAAACTGGATATTGAAACAGTGGACAGAGGCTAGGCCAGTAGATATACTTAAGAAAAGGAGAAAAAACATATCTAATTCGAGAAGTATTACTTCCTTAACTTTTCTACAAATAAGAGTCCTAAGTTTATAGAACTAAACAAGTACTGAAAGCCTTCGAAATGTCAGAAAAGATGGAGTTTAAACAAGACTACTCCGTTCGACTTGAATTAATGGAATGGTGTTGATACCAAAAATGGCTTACTGATGCGCAAAGGACGAAAGGAGACAAGATGGGTGATTATTAACAGCTGAGCATTCGAAGAGTACTTGTGGCTAATAAGAGATCAGTTTTACCGCTTCCACCCTCGAAACAAAGCGATTTTTCAGGAAAACTATGTGACAGCGCATCTAGGAGCTTGGTTTTAGATGTAAAACAAGGAAATAAATGTGAACAGAATTGTTTCTAAAGGGAAGCCTCGAGGAAGAACGGAATACTTCACATTCGGATGGATAGCAGGATTTTTCAATGCAAGTAGGGGGATAGATAACATCGCAGCAAAACCGGAATGACTTTCTTATCGACCAGACAAAGTAGCCTGCATTGAAAACCCTTACTATGAGTTACTTTAGACCAAACGTTTCCGTAGCACAATAAACCTCAGATTTACGTCCGTTGAAAAGTAACCCCATGGAAATAGATACCCCTTTCAAAATCAGTGACTGGTGTGGATGAAATTCTTTGACCAAAATCCATCAACGACGTTGACAAAAACATAAATAAGCCATCTGTCAAAGAATAGGCAAAAATCTCGTTGGTGTGTCTGCACAATTTTTCAAGGGGTTGGAAACTCGAAAATCGCCATAAAGAAGAAGAATAGAATTTAAAGGCTAAAAGACGAATGCGGTGGTAAAATAGGATTTCTCAACAACGTAATGGAACCGCCTAAACTTGAGGATTAAATAGGGTTTTGAAAGCTTGGGACGCAAATGTTTCCCGACTACCACCCAATACGTGGAGTAAAATTATGCCGAAACCATTCTTCATCGGGAGATTCAACTGGAGTGAATATGAGTGTGAATTAAAAAGTGAAGGCAATTCAACTACAGCGGTGTGTGTGTGGGAATAGGTTAAGTAATGAAGCGGTTAAAATCAGGGCTAAATATGCTGTTTCAATCCCCGTCTCTTTCCTCACAGAAATACGTGAATTAGTGCCATAGCGCCCTCAATTAATTAAAAAGGAAGGCGGTGAGAGAAGCTTCGTGCGTACAAACAAAGGCAAAAGAGCAAACCCTTTTGGGAACGCAGAGGTACTTCTTCTGTTTCTGACGCTTGCTCCGACGCCGCAGCTAGGAGAAGATGAATGCAGTCGGGATAAACTCAAAAAACACATTTCAAGGAAGAAACACCAGATGATTCACCAATTAGGAGTTACTTCTTTGAGCAGATAAGCAGCACGAATATTCCCTACCACGCATTTATAAATGAAGAGATAGCTAAATAGTATTTTCGGTTGATACAGAATCAACCCAGGATAAGTGTAATTTCAAACATGACATTGCCAATGTTTGTTCTTTAGTTTGCCCCTATTCACTTCAAATCAAACTACTCCGAGTTTTTAGGATCAGTTTACCAAGACAATGAAACACATACACCAAAAGTAGTCAAGAGACACTTTTTGGTGAAATGGAGCTTTCCGACCAATTACATGTGATACAGTGATGGCCACCTCAACATAAGTTATGGAAATCCGCAACTGTGAGGTAGAGAAAGCAGAAAATCAGTGAAAGTAATCACTTAAAGTTCTAGAAGAAAATGGTAATGTGCAATACCGTTAAAAGAAGGGTCTAGTACATAAAGGAATAAGTTAAGCCACCTGCTGATAATGCACATACGATTCGCCCATATGGGCCAGAATGAGCCCAGTTAAGATCGAGTGAGATCCAAATAATGTTTACACTGATGCGGCGCTAGTTGACTGCAAACTGAAAACCCACCACACGGTACCGAATACGACGTTGGGGAAACCCTTAGGTCTGAGCGAACAAACACATAAAGATCAGCGCAAATAAACAGGGCATACATCAATACCACACCACCAGCGTGATCGCTAGAAATAAACGACCCCTGAAAAGCTTATAAAAGATGAAAGAAAAAAAGAAATCATATGCTGTTACTGATTCTACTTGAAATAAGGACTGTCTATTTCATTCACCCTATGATGGCAGAACAAAGAATGTACGTAAATGCAACGATGCTTGGACCTCAAGCCAGACAAGAGATGACCTCCAGTGTCGCAATCGAACGCAGTGGCATGCAGTCCTTGATATAGTTGCCTCGTCTCTCAAGGAATGCAAAACGCATCATGCGCGCAAGGGACGGAAAGAAAATACAAACGACATGCCAGCTCGTCCTGGAGGGGAACTATCTGGATGAAGTGCCATTAGAAAATTACATGCAGCTAGGGAAGATAATTTGTCGTTTCTTCTTCGATTTGATGAGCCACACGCACGTATACTTACGGAGGTGGGCTCGGCGAAACTGAGTGTAGGCCACTCATTATCATTAGCATAGTCAATTTGGCCACTCCCGAGGACCTCTCTAAGATTCGAGAATGAGGAATTACTCGTGGCGTACCACTGAGTCAGACCAGAGTTGTCGACAGGAGCAATGACAAAGGGGTGGACACCCCAGTACGTGTCCGGTGGTGGAGGCGGTGGATGGGGATATCTGGGGTAGTCAAGGGGTGCTAAAACAACAGGAGTGATGGCGCGAGGCAGAGTACCGGGCGCAACACGCTCAATGGAGGGCTGTGTAAATGAGGATGGACGGCCAATGGTGCTGTGCTGCGCGGGCTACTCATAGGCAGGGGAAAACACGGAAAAGTGTAGAGGAAATAAATTGATCAAAATGAAAAATAAAATGCCAGGCGTCGCCAACATAAAACACGAGTTGGGAGGAGAGAAAGGTGGAGAAAAGGAAGTGATACGTTAACAACTGTTTGATCTAACAACTCAGATCATTTTAATTAGATAACTGCACAAAAATAGAGCTAAAGTAAAGCACTCACATCACCAAAGTCTGGCTCGAAACCAGGATTGTTGTGCATATCAGATCGACGGGAATCGTTGGATTGGGGAGTGAGAGCACTACCACTGCCACTAGTGTTGATGCTTCCATTGGTAGCGTTATCCACAGGAAGAGGGGGTAGTCTGTGTTGATAGGTTCCTCCACGGGCCGTAGTGTTGGCGTGCATGCACTGAAGTGACGATTGGGTACTCATGCAGTTGGAAAGATTGGGGTCGACGCCTCCCATTGTCGCTGAATGAATCTACGAAAACAACTGAGGCGCTTGGTCAGATGTATTCATGAAAGACACCGTCAGGTAGAGAAAAATATCCTACTTGAGATATGGGTTGTATCATTCTGTCGCGATAACTATTGGAAGGGACGTGCTGGAGAGGAAACGGTGGTTGCATTGGATAGGGTGGCTGTGCGCGCTGTTGGAATACTTGAAATTGTTGACCCCTTTGAAATTGAGGAGTGCTGGCCGACAGTAGGTAACTCAAATCAGGTCGCGATTGAACAATTTTTACACAGGCTTAAAAGGGATTAGTAAAGGAATCTCTTAGCGTTACCATCTTGGAATACTCTTTCCACGTTAAGACCGTAGGTGGAGCAAGTTTCGTAGTAGGGACATTTATTCAAACTATTCGCTAGTCGTCTTGCTTTTGCATCATCAATAACACGAGGATTTGAATCAGAAGTTGAATCTATGTAAATGTCAATATTAGACAAAGGATACCTACCTTGTGTCCCCACCAGAATAATAGGCAGATCACGGATTTCTCTGAAAGTGTCAAGGCGTTCAAAATAATCGCATACGACTCGGAAACTCTCTTCACTATCTAGGCTAAAGACAAAAACCGCTCCATCTATCCATCTGCTAAATTGTTCATCGGGTGCACCACCCTCATCACGTATGAGGAGAAGGTAGCTCATCCCATCCAGCACAACTTCTTTCTTAAATCGTCCGCCCTCGGGCGATTCGTCTTTTAAATATGTGCCAGTAAGGTAGCGATGAACTAAAGCCGACTTCCCGCTGTTAACTGAACCAAGTAGTCCCTAAGAGCACTAATGTGGGAATAAAGGACCGACACCTACCAACTTTATCTGTGGAACTGTGTGCCCAAGTGTCCATTCTTGACTATTAACAAAAGCATCTGCAAAAAAGAATATTATTCGAAAAAAATACCTTCAACACTGGCAACCTGCCGTCGGAACATCTCAGCTTGTCGGCGATCAGTGAGAGCCTCGATGAGGTCATACATAGCATAGATAGAAGGGTGGACACTTTCGAAGCGCGCAATTTCCTGTTTAATATCATTAGAATTAACATCTTCGCCTCCTTCAGGACCCGATAAGGATGGCATTGCAACCAACAATATCCCCAAAGACTACGAGTGGTATTTCATAACAAGCGCGACAAGAATGGGACATTTTGACCAAGATGGTCATACGCGAACAAAATTGCATTCATTTACTAAGACACCTAGTTAAGATCAAAAAATTGGTACCTATAATGCTTTTTAATTGCGATTTTTTAATTTGCATTAAAAATTATCTTACTCGCTAATTTATGCTACACTAGCACGAAACATAATCCTCATTAATGACGACCATTAGACTGTTTATGCATACAAATTTCCTAAAAATGCATTTTAAAACTGCTAGCGACCTAATGCTTTGGCGCCAGAGTAGAGCTCGAATCCTGCTGAATGGAATATAAGATGTTTTTATGATTAAAAAGTTATCGTGATAGGTGAAAATCCCATCTAAAAGTTTAACTAATGGGCCGTAAAGGGATTCAAAATACTATTTGCTTGACAGGCCTTAAAGTCCATGCAGGCCTGTTATGTCCACCTCAGACAAAAGTTAGTTCCAGTCATCGTTTTCAAGTTATATCTTTTCTAAAGATTTTAATGTGACACAGTGACTGTAAGGAGGTAATAAAAGACAAGCCATTAAAACTCCTTTGGTAATGCTTTTTATAGTAATGAGGCTTCTCTGAATTTGAGAGCAGACACGGTACTCGGGCAGAGTATACATATATGTAGCGTCCCGAGACTCCCTGAAGACGAAAGAAGATACAATATTCGGGCAGAATATAGATATATTCAGCGCAGAGAAGGTGTTTGGGCTACTGGCATGGCCCAGAAGGCCATCCCACCAAGTGAGGTACAAGAGGGCTAATTCAAAGTACCATAAGTGGCGCCTCACCAGAACCGAGGGACAAGCCACTATTGTATTACACAGAAGGGTATGGGGCTACTAGCCTGGCTCGGAGGCCACTCCACTCTGAGACGGTACAATGGCCAAGATGCAAATTGTATTTTACTAAAGCCGAGAGCCAAGCAGCCATTGTTTTCTGGTATGTTGCGGTTTGAAATTTTTTTGAGCTGTGCTGGCATTAGAGTCCCTGAATGCTGTGCTTCTGCCCTGCAACATGGCCTTCTGTATGTTATTAGTTTATGCTTGCATAGTACATTGGCTTGTTATAACTTCAGGAAATACTCAAGACGCCACACATAACTAGTTCTCTAAGCAATTAACCATAGACCCTTAATGAAACCGGAGCAAAACCACCTTTCTGGTTCTATTGCAGCATACATGCAGAAAAAGTTGGAAAACTCTACCACTCATGTTTTTTTAAGCAGGCGCTTCTCACAATGCCTTTATACTGTTGTAAGAAAGATCTCCTGCAATGTACCTGGAGGATAGTTGAGTACGTCACCTAAGGTCTTTATGCAAATTATTTAAGTTACCCTGAAACTGCCGCAAGCACTGCTACTTCTAACTCGCACAATTGTCATAAAAATTTTGAGGACGAATATAGTACAAACCTATTCACATCTTTGCATGTAAATACACATGCTCGAATTCGCCAAGTGGTCATCGTCTTTTATTAATTTAGCGTTAATTTTTCCCACAATGATATCATGACAGGTATAACTAACAAAGACTGAAAATAGGTTTTTGTTATACACAATAATATTACAGCAAATCCAATGAAATAATTACGTTGAAATCCAAAATTGCCAAACTACGAAAACTCCTAATTGCATGCATATTCATGCAATAGATGCACCTTAAGTGCTGTCCAATAAATTCTCAACAGTGTTCGTGCTTAGTGAGCGACGTCGGCAATGACGACTGTGCCAGATTTGACAGTAAACTTGTTGAGGTGGATAAATTAGTTTACGTAAGTGGTACACTTAGGTACGCATTTCATAATTTCTCACAACACAATAATGCCTGTCAATCTGGCAATTTCAAGTTTGACGCATATTCTTTTGGTTAACATCGAATAATATTCTAGACTGCTATTGGCATTTTATAAGCTCCAGCATGTGTTGTGTTTGCTGGAGGTGAAATTATTGCAAATAATGCTCTTTAAATGTCCGATTTGAGTAAGATGAGAACGTTTAACCGCCATACTACTTGCGTATTCTATTCACGCAAAAATGCGCAAGTGAACTGGAACTTGGCCTTCTTTGCTTCGACATCAAACCTATATAAGCATTTTAGCGCATGCAGATTGGACTGTCATTAATGTTGCATCATTACTTTACCGTAGTAAACTGGTTTGGTGGTTTTGAACGTATTTCCTTCGCTTTTAACTTGCCTTGATAGCTATTGCTCAATGTCGGTGGGTTTTTATTGTTAACCGGTGACCTTATCGCGTATGTCACCGCAAGCTGTCATTTTTGAAAACTGAAACATAATGTGCTTGCGAAATGACATCTTCTTTTACTTTTCCAGTCTTTGAAAATGGAGGAAGATCGTCATCTTTTCAGGTGACTCTTTTTTGCTCTCTTGGATTCGTGTTCGTGAAAATATTCCACTTACTTATTCAAACGTGTCCCATTCTCACGGTTTTTTTACTTTAAATACGACGAAAAGATCCAATGCAGTTTCTATCAATTGGCCTGGCTTCTTGCTGTTTTATGTTATGCCCTTGAAGTAATTATGCACAAGTACTTCTAGAGGCAGGGCGACTATTTATTACCAAGACAGCTTAATGCCTCAAACCTAACATCCTACTATACCGCTAACCACGATTTAATTTTTACAGAATGGTCGGCATAGGACGTATTTTAGTTTTTGGTATTCTTGTGTTTGAAATATTTTGACAATTAGTCCGTCAACCAAGTTGGGAGAATTCATATTCGAAACATTTGAATCCATCTACATTGAATAGACCTCTACTCATTTATTGTTCCTAAAACGCCGCCAGTTTGTGTTTACATTGCTAATTCCATAATTCCGCAAAACTTCAATAATTTTTTAAACACTGAGTTATTCCTTTCTCAATAAGGCAAAACCTTGAGGGTCAACTGTTGAAGTTCACAAATGTCATGAAGGGCTTTCAGTATCGATGGATCGTTGTGGAATCGACCAATGGTGTGCTGGAATACTATGAGGTGTGCTCTAGTTTCCTCAATTTTTGCTCATTGAACCTTTCATACCTCAAAGCATTACTTATTTCTGGGAAATGGATTTTATAGTTACTAGTTATTCTGCCTAGTATAAATACGTAGTTGATTCAAATGTCGCCTGATAGCTTCTGTGACTTGTTTCATCCTCTTGCAGAGGGAGGAGCACAAGAAGTTTCAAAAACCTCGTAGCTCCGTTAGTCTTCTGGTAAGGTATTAAACAATGCACTGCTTTGGAGACAAGTTGTCTAGAGGCAGTAACCATCCGTCACTTTTCTCTTCAGTTTGCCACAGTTTGTCCCTCGGACGAAGACTCACAGACCTTCATTGTAAATACATCTCAGGGTGAAAATCTTCGCTTCAAGGGTGCGTTGCTGAAATGGCCTTATCTCGTCCTCACCAGGGCATGCCGCCCCACTCTTGTCAATTTGTGTGCAGGCGTACGTGTGCTAGCGGGCGACCAACCGATTGGGATTGAAAAAAAAAACACCGATCGTCGTGACGCGCTATCGAGATAGCTTGTTAGTGAAAAATGATACCCTAAAGTGCTGACTCTCTCACTACAGCACGAGTTCAAATGTGCTCAAGACACGTGGTACAGTTAATGCATGGTCGAAGGGGCGCGACTGAATAGTAAAGATTTTAAGGCATTTGGCGTTTTTACCCAACGGAACTTGCACCATTGTTACAAAAGGCTCGTGCGTTTTTCCAGCACTTTTTTTAGTTCTAGCATTTGCTGCACATTATTTTGACCACAATCTCTGACTCGTTGAGTTTGCGATAATTTTGGCACTGTCGTCTGAATAAAGCACTTATTTGGAGGTCAATCATGTAATTTAACTACCGCTTCCATAATGAGGCTGCTGCACGGTAAAATGGATGGGCTACAAGTTACTCTTCTCCGTCCCCTTTACGACACTGCTTATAGTGTAATCGTAATATTACACCACTGGAATGCAGCGTGTCCGTCCTTTCACATCTAACCAATCGGGTTATGTGTAGCTGCAATGTTTGTAAAGATTGATTTTTGCCACCCAGAAATGGTTTGGGTAAAAGGTTCCATCTTCCAAAAGTGTGTATTTGGCCTGACTTTCTTATAAAGAATGGCTGTGGCTATCGCTCTGCTTAAAATCACGTATACAATTCACACTTGGCTTAATCGACCAAGCCGTTAATTTTTGTACCTAGGATTTCTGCTTTGTTTAAGGGATTGCCGTTGATTCCTTTCTCTATTATCTTTATTGCTCTGTGAGGACTATGCGTAGATTCCGAGGATGATTTGGACTTTTGTTTCAAATGGGCCATTGACTAGCACAGTGCCTGAGCTAACGGAAAGGGGTGTGGGTTTGTGCATATCTTATAGAAGGGGAGAACTGGTCAAACACAGGAAGACCGAGACATCACTCCTGCATTTGAAGGTAACGTATTCTTTACCGGTCATGTGGTGAAGAATAATTACCAGTTTCTTCGACAAACTCTCCAAGGATTTCTTCAATTGAATAATCCACTATCAGAAATTAGTGGTTATTTGTCGCGATTCAGTAACTGTTGGTTACTTCCACGAATAGCTATTGACTGAGGGCAGTCGTCACTTCTAAGTTAGTGCATAGTTTGCTACAACTGCTCACCGAAACCTGGTATATTTGTTGCCACTATCAACCCAAGTGAATTTGTAAATCTTGCCGCCACGTGATTTTGTCGGTGAATCATTAGCCGATTTTATAATTTTTTTCCTTGGCCTTTTCTCTCGGCAGCTGCAGACGCAAGGGAACGTCAACTTTGGGTGAATCACATTCGCGCGGTTGCAGAGTTTCACACCGAAAAAGCTACTGATCAGAATAGCGTAAGTTCTTCCGTTACAACCTAAACATTTCTGACGATATTCATCCATAGATAGAGTTCTCAGTGTTAGAGGGTTCATGTGAATAGGTCAATTGAAGGGAGAAGCGAAGTTCTTCATGGTTTTTTTGAATACGTTGATGGGAATTCCTCTGCTTTTCAGCTCCCAGGTCTGCCATCAGCTGTGCAAAGACCATCACTTTTGCCTGTGAAGGAGGCTCGACCGGTGATGCTTAACTCCTCTAATTCAGGTAGGTCTCGCCCCCTCGCATCCTTGCTCTATCTGTGCTCAAATCAGCCTTCAATTCATCCGCAGAGACCTCAATGATGACGGAGACTACTGGTTGTAGCGGCAACCACCTCATTTAAAACATTTTCTGCCTTTTATTCATGAGTGGCAGTTTTGACTCAACAGTCTCGACGTTGACAGATTTAATTTTGTCTCGTTGGCGGGATCAATGTTGATGTTAACACTTGGGGCTAAGTTGCGCAAAAGGGAGAATTTTTCAACTGATCATTTCTAGGAATTTGAATTACTTGCTCTTTATGGATATACGTCTCATGCTCCAGAATTGTATTTTTACTACCATTCTCTGTCAGTAAAAGGCGTTTTCTTCTCAGGCGCTGATAATTTTGCAGCTCCTAACTTCCGATGCCGTTATTAGTCATATCCGTGAATTGCGTAAATGCAGAATGTAAACATAACCAAGATTTAGCATATTCGTACTATCTCTTCAACACATCTGAGTACTTAAGGTCCAAATGTTAATTTAATGATTTTTTCCCTTTTTGGATTTTTAACGAACACCCATTTAATGACACTGAGCTCTGTCTATGAGGAAAATAAAGGCGATTTTTGGGCTTCAACGCATCTTTTCAGCCGAATGCATATGCAGATGTGCCAACCGCAATCAAGTCTTGGCCCCAAGAACCCATCGAAAGGGTGTTAAACAGCTAGATTCTATCTCAGAATCCAATACGCGGCCTTGTTATCATGATATCTATTAGCCTCTAATCCAAAAACGAAAGGAATAATTGTTTAAATTCAGTGCCTCCCATTTCAGTGTTAGAAGTGTGGGATAAAAATTTAGTGTTCAGCTGAAATTTATTTTCTCAACTAAAAATGACCACGGAAGAAGACGTTTCTGTAGTATGCTTTAAGCTAATAAATTTTCTACTTCCAGACCAGTCCTCCCGATCCCACCGCTCTTCCAGCAGTAGGACTGGACGCAGTGCTGATAGAAAGTTCGCCTTGGATACCCCTTCCCCCTATTCGTATGTTCCATTTCTAGCTCTCGCTAAGTTTGTGAAATTCCGTTCTTGGGTATATCTGTGCAATATGTAAATATCCAAATGGGTCGATTGAGCACATTCTGCCTGTGTGTAATGTGATTCCCCCCATGTGATCAGGCTTTTAGAGATGAAGAGAGTGCGGTCGGTCGTAGTGGGGCAAAATATAGTATTAGTGCCCTCAATTACACTCAAGTGCATCAGTTGTGAGGCCTCTCCATTGGCATTTTCTTGTTGCCAGGGTGGGCACAGAGGAAGGTCTAATCACTATTTTTTTATTGTCCTCTCTAGCGCAGAAGTCAATCTCGCTGCTAGCGACGCACCGGCACTGGTGGATCCCTACCAACAACTGAACGAACTCTTTCGGCTACTCGAACGTGAGGGCAATCTCTTGGCTCGCGATATTGACGTAAGACTTTCTCCTCCCTTTTGACCTTAAATCCCCTTTTAGCATGCGCTTTTCCGACCTTGCATTTATGCGGTGGCTTTTCACTAGCATGATCAGTTTGCCGCAAACTACGAGTCAAACTAAGGTTTTTACGTTTATACAGGAAAAAAATTCGTAACAGCTGCAGTAGGTTGTGCTTCTCTCAGATGCCCAGCCTGAGTCCTTCTATCCGTTGAATGTATACAGGAGTGACTGATGTTTTGCGGACCGGGAACAGAATCACTGTGCCTCAAACATAGAGTCGCCTTTGAAACGTTTACATTGAAATCATTCAGGCTTCTATTTGGTGAGGGGCTGTGTTCCATCACCATACAAATTGCTTTTGAAGTCTCCTTTAACCATGCTTTCTGGCTAGTGGTAACAGGATGCAATTGTCGCTTACCACTACTACTACGTGTATTCCGCCCCGATAGTACCCCTTCGAAGGGGCATAAAACTGAAATTACTTGCATACGTCCTTCGTGATACGCATTGTTGGTTACTTTCATGAATTCCCGAGTTATTTTAATCGTGTTGTTAAATGCCCTGCGCAAGACTCTTGACGCCATTACGAGGGCTTTTTTATCGGTTTTGGTGAATGCGACTACCGTTTTGAGCTGGATCGTTTGCATCTACAAGGAAGAATTCACCGCGATTTGCGATGCTTTCCGCGAATACTTTGATAGAAGGTTCCGAAGTCTAGCCAACAAAATAGGCGAAAGTGCCTAGTGGTATGGACAGAGGTTTTTATCCAAGGAAGACAAAGCGGCTTTCTTTATTGTACAATTCCAGACATCGACACTTTGTGCTTGCGAGCTTTCTAATCACTAGTTGAACCCAGGTTTTCATTAACCCGATTTCTTTGATGAATGTTCTCTCGCATTTCCTATTATAACATGGATTTTATGAATCCGGAAGTGAATATCGATTGACACATCATATGCTGTTTTAAATTTTAGGATGGGATACGAAGGTTAACTCAAAATACATTCCAAAAGTACAGATTTTTGTAGAACTCGTCGCACACAACGCAACAGACCTTTTTCATTTTACTGTGGATGTATTTTTCTGTAGGACGTGTACAACCAACCTACTGCAGCGTTTGCCAACAGAAATCCTGAAGTCACTGAACTTTACCGGGTAAGCAGGGTCACATTTATTATCTCACCGTGGTTAGATTAAGCCGGGAGTCTGTGCTTTTTTGGGTTGGCCATCGCTTGCGTTGAGATCTGCTAAATTTCCGCCACGCCGGAGCAGGGTTCGGAGTTACCTCCCTATCTGTTAACCACCCTTACACGTTGATCGTGATCTCACTACACTAATACCATTTTCAAATCAACTAGCCTATCACATGGCTAACCTTTTTAGTCAAGAGAAGTTACACGATTGTTATCAAATCACCCATTATCTCACTCAGTTGGCGACAACCTGGAGTTATTTGTTTGGTATCTCTTAAAGCTCTTCTAAATGGAATGGAATGACACCAATCAACTGTCCAGCTATGTTTCTAGCTCGATTACAGGCAGCTCAATCCATTAGATTTTACTGATTTCCATCTGATAAATTATCGTCAAATTTTCCGTTTTACTGGTTTTTAGTTTTCAATTGTGGACCTAACTTATCATTTTAAGTTGTTTTTTTTTTCAGTCATTGGCCTGCGTTTGAAGCTCACCGAATGAATAGTGAGCTACTTCATCACCTTAACATCAAAAAAAGACATGCTTCGATTTTATGTTTTCTGTTTCTATCCCACTTCACCCTATGAGTTTGATGGAGTAGTATCAGGTCGCACAGCCAGTGTACTCCTACTGAAATTTTCAGCGCATTTGTCTCTCTTAACTCAGATTTCCCACTAGCCACGTACTTAGCTTATTTATTTGCTAAATTGAAATTTTTACATCAAACAGTTGCTTAAAGTGCTTTGGGTGCGTTTATCAGTCACGCATTGAATGCAAGCCTTTGTTGCATTAGTCGCATGATAAACGCCTCACGCAAAAGTAACGCCATTGTTGAACTTTTTATGCTTTACAAGGCATAAAGTTGAGAGTTGAACACAGACGGAAAAGTGTTTAAAGTAGCAGTGGTGTTGCATTTTTACAATGGTAAAAAATCAAAAATGAGCCCGACCTTTTCTTTATCTTGGATCTTACACTTCTACTAAGCAACATTCCCCACCTGTCTACTAATTCAAACTTTGTGGCCAGCATATCTAGGAGCAATCGTTAATTTTTTTTGGCAAAACAATTTTCTAACATGTTTGAAACCAACTTTGGAGGTGCGGCTTGTGCTTTAGAATCTCCTCATAATAAAGGCGACGAGTCAGGCCTCAATCAAGTCACTGAAACAATGCCTCGGTGGGCTCCAACACGACAACAGCAACGTTTCTCTCGACGTGGGCCTCCTCTAGACCGCCTCTTCCTTAGTCCCCTCTCATCCCTCCCTTCCTCTTGCCCACCCCCTCGTGACAATTTGTGTTCTTTATTTGGTGAATGGAAGAATATCTGTCCTCGTAGAATTCTCATCCATGTTCTTTGTATTGTTGTTGTTTCACATTGTATTACAGTAGGAGGCTTGTTAGCCCCTTGTTTGCTGGAAAAGCACGTCCCGAGAAGGATCTGTAATCCGACGCCTCACCTTCAAGCAGTCTACAATCTCTGCGACTAATCGTCATGTTTTGAGATAGGTGAGGTTGTTGTGTGTTAAGAACCATGTGCTCATCAAAAAAGATGATATGTTAGGTCAGGTGAGTGGTGGTTAATGTTCGACTTTGACTGTTGGTTTGCGCATTAATCTCGGTTAACTTCGGATTCATGAACGTGTTTGCGTGCTTTGTTCACCCGCTGGTGTGAATTGCATGAATTTTTTGAAAAGTTTGCAGAATAGCCATGAAATTGTGGCAAAATTTGATTTTTTATGAGGTCCTACTACGGGCGATTGGTTTGTCTGATTGATTAGTTGTTTGGTTTAAAAGGGACTAACAAATAAATGCTGGTTCGATTAAACTTGAGAACCAGCTCTAGTTGAGATCTTCCGATGCTTTCATTCGTGCTGCTTTTGCTCAAATTCGTCTTACAAATGAAATGACTGGCTGACTTCGCTGGGCCGTAGTCGAATATACTTTCACCATAGTCGTGAGTTTTGTTGCTCATATTTTGTGCTAACATAGAAAATCCACAACTTTGACTTGTTAATAGTTTGTCAGCTTGCATTTACCTCCCATCAGGGAACCACTCAGTAAAAGTTGTCGAGCTTTTCCGGCTTCTTTCTCCCATGGTGTTCTTATCCCAACATCATGGCGCATTGTGCGCTCTTTTTGTTGTCAAAACAAAAGTAGGGAAGTTCATTATTTGCTCTTGACTACTTTAAGGGGCAACAGCTAGTGCTATTGAAGGGTATCAACTTGTTCACCGTCAGTCTCTGAGGGGGACTTATCATCGTAACAGCCAATTTTTTTTGACCGCTTCGACAGCTGCCTAAAAAAGACGAAAAATGCAGTTATTTCCTTCATAAAGACATCTCATTCTACTTTTTATTCTTGGTTCGCCAACTGTGGCACAATTTGGCATTTGCCTATCATAAATAGGTGGAAATTGCACGCCGGACATTTGTGATGCTGGACTGGTGTAAAAAACTGAATGTCACACGTATGGCTGGAGTAGCGGACGTGTCAGCTCCATTTGTCCACACTGGTGCTTTACTGGGTCTTAATTGATAGTGGCGTAGATGCGGCACTCCAAACAGGTAAAGTGACCAAAGCTACTAGTACACGAATCGTGCTTCCTGTAATCTCTGTTTAGGTCTAAACGATTGCGATTTTTTGCTTCACAGCGCATCATGATAAGCCTCAAATCATCATGCGTCTATCTGCTTGGCAAGCAAATTCTGTGCATGTGCTGGCTAAAAGTTATCTACATTGATTTAGCAGTGCATAAGGATATGAATTCCAAATCTGTGAACTATGTAGATACAAAGTTGGTGTTCTATTTTGAGCTCTGGTTTTGATACATAATTTTTGGATTGGTAAACGGGTGAACTGTGGTGTAAATCAGTAATTCTAGTTTGACTTCTGTCGACAATTAGCTACAAATTCTTTCTCTTCGAAACCAGCTGGTTTCTGCTTGTCTTATGGGGCACGACTTAATCTAATGGATTGAACTTCAAGATTGAAATTACGGTTCTGTCCTGAACTGACTATTTATGTTCCCATCCACTGGACGCAATAATGTGAGGGAATTCGAAGAGGCACAACACCAAGAGGGTGATTCACTTCCATTATCCTCGTAAGGACAGGGGACGGTTATTTCATCGCATTCCACCTTCTATGGCATAGACATTGTTCTTGCATTCCATAAAGGTCCATAAATGCGACTACTCAAAATATACATGTCAACGACCAATCATGTTTGAAATGAAGCGTGGACGTCTGCTTCTGTTTTTGCTTGAATGTTGAAAAATCTTGGTTAAGAGTGAAATGTGATTGCATTTGACTAACTGAAATTATGTCAGTGAAAAGACTTTTGAAACCTCCACTAGAGGATAACTACAGGAGTTATTCTCTGGAATCAAACATGGATCCAGCACTAAATTTGAGATTATAGGAGAAAGGCAGTCTACGTAAAAAAAAGGGTTTGGTTACCATCTGCCCTACATTTAAGCCTTGGGATAAGCCTATCCAAGTATTTTACAGCAGTCCCCTTCAGTAACAGGAAGGGGCTACATGCAGATGCCTATAGCTCCAAAGGCAGGTGTGGTATTACTGACTTGAAGTAATTTGCCTACTCAATCCTAGCGGTTCGTTCACATCATGAGTCGATTATACAGCAAATGACAATGCTGAAAGTTCGTTAAACTGGAATGGCGTTGATGCCCTGACCCCATACACGAGACAAGGACGAGCACATTCTGGAGCATCTTAGCTTCTCTTAAGCTCAACCTTATATTTGAAATTACCCTCTCTTCGGAAAATTTGCCACCTTCCATTGCCAAAGTGGTATTTTATTTTGTACAAGATGCATAAACTAGGCTCTATTTTTGGCATTTCCTCTTTTTGAGGTAATCGCTTGATAGGATACAGACAAATCCTTCGTGTTTGGACGGAAGAGGCCTTATAGCTGTTTCCGATATCCAATGCAATTAGTTTAAATTTGCAGTTAATGAACTCAACGTGAATAAAATTTGTAAACGTTCAAAAGTGAGGAAAAGCCAGGCACTTGCAGCCTTACTTTTGAAAGAAACGTGATTACGAGCCTTTCCACAGCACTCCACATAACTACTATTACTACACCAACAGAGCAAGCGATCGACCTCACTGAATTGTCCAAGTTAACCAATTTGTTTTCAAACAGTGATGTGTTTGCACACAAGATTGATTGCTAATAGAATGTTTGATGGAAATGAAACTCGGAGAGGGACGCGTAGCCTAGGTTACTGTTGCATGCCTTACCCCTCTCATTGAAAGTCGAAAGGTGATTGGTCACAAGTGCCAGCCAATGGCAAGCGTAACAAGTATGATGAGAAGTTGAAGGTGGGTTTTCAGAGTCGGGAGCAGCTGCAAGTACAGATTGAGTGGAGCTGAGCACACATCCACCACGAGCACATCCACCTACACTCACCCTATCGCTTTCTCCAAGGTTCATGGCAGGTAATGATCCTCTTACCCCAACAAGGGGAGCAAATCAGGAGTGTGGGTGAGTCAGAACGTCGCAGTCATTGGCTAGTGTACAATTGATGTGACTCATTTATTAGCCTTGGTACGAGGAGGCTATTTAGCTCCTTCTGCTCCTACATTGTTTGGGTGTTATCTGCAGTTTTAGGTCTCGCCACAATTTGCCACAGAATTTTTGGGATGGCTAGAGGTCAACTTAGATGAAGACAAGAATTATGACGAATATTAAGGGCATCTCATTCTATTGTGTTCTGCCATTAACGATCAAATGAGTTTACCCTTGCCTTCTCTTTTATTCCCCCTCAAATTGTTTGTTCAACCGTCAGGCTGCAAAAAAGTCCGCTTTGTCCTTTAGGTTCGATGTAAACTAGGCGACTCGTAGCAATTCCTCTGCTGCTTCGGAAGCATCTAACAGAGACACTTGAATGCCTCCTTTATTGTCTTCTAAGAATCCGTTTCCGCTGAAATAAACTCATTGGCGTGGAAAAACACTTTAAAGGGGAGACATTTGATTGGCTTGTATTTCCAATTCTTGGTTATGCGCAGCTCCTTTGTATGGGTAGTAAATCATCGAGGCCATTATAATTGCTAACCCATTTCAATGTTGACTCAGACTACATCTACCAAAGTGCTGGAAATGATAGGCTATTTCGCCCTCATTTATCCATTTACCAACTTATTTTTGTTCGGCTCTTGAAGTATCAGCCAAGAATATCTGGCAAAACCCATTAGCATTCTCCTTTTTTCTCCCGTTCACTACCAAAGAAAAGTGGACCACCACAGTCCGGATGTTTTGCAATGTCAACATGTCGCCAGTTGTCATTCATTTTTATGCATTCAACTGTTAAACAACAACTAAGTCGATGCAACTACCTCCCTTGGATCACGGAACTTCTGCATCAATTTTATTATATCAGACTCAATCTAGGTGTCATAAGCTGGTAGATAACACCTTGCATATTTTTGACGTCATGGGTAATTGACTTTGGTGGTAAAGAGGTTTAATATCTCTTGCAAAGGAGTAGATCTCTGAAAAACGTGTCTTACTGTGTAAAGGGGTGATAATGTTGTTTTCATTTGAAGCACGACAGGCAGCCCAATGCCACCGCCCATAACTGGAATGTCCGAATCGGCATTTTTGGTGAACCGCGACGAGGAAGTCGCCACGAATTCGATCGAGGACGAAGAAATAGGGTCCGTTGAAAATTACAAAAGCGTCATTATGCACGTGGTCTCACAGTTAAAAGAAGGAAAGGATTTGACGCAGGTGAATCATTGTTGTAGGACTTCCCCTCCGTAGGACTGTTACAATAGTTTCTGTTTGACTCAGTTACCATTGTAATAGCCTGCAATCCCACTTAACCTCTCTCGCTTGCCATATTTGGTAAATGAAAAGCCTTCTCTCTCTACTTCTAGATTGTGCTGCCAACTTTTATACTAGAACGGCGTTCATTACTTGAGATGTTTGCCGACTATAATGCACATCCTCAATTGCTCATAAAGTAAGTCTTTTTGAGTCTATAGATGATATGCAAAAGGAAAAGAGGGAAAATCTGACCTTTGTATGCCAAATAAAATGCACTGACTCACAATGTTCACTTTCAGTAGGACAGTCTTTTAGAAGCATAAAAATCGCTAATTTTCACCAAACACAGTCTGCAGGTTTTTCAAGCGAGTACTTTCCCTGCGTTCTACTCTTCCACCGCACTGTGAAAAGCTAATTGTGGACCGTTGAGTCTTATTTTGGTCAACTTGCCATGAAACAGCGGACTTCTTTTTAGCTGCTTTAAATCATTATACGAGTGTTTTTACATCAACAGGGCTTCCAAATAACTCAGTCCCACACTGAGGCATCTCTTTTTCCCCCGCCGTGGAAACCGCACTTTAATCACTGTTGTTGCACAGATAAAGCAAAGCCAAATCAAATCAAACAATTAAGGTGATGCCTTTTTTTTACAGCATCACAAATGGAGTGTCACCGCATGAGAGAATGAAGAACTTCATCAAGTGGTATTTAACGGCTTTCCACGCCAGTAGAAAGGTATGACATGAGTAATTTTGCACCATGTTTGTCAATTTGCGTAAGGTTATCACTGCACTTCATTGCGGACCTCAGAGGTGCTTTCCGATCATTCAAATGATGAAATAGATTTAAGGTACAATGTTTGAAGCGTTTACTGACTACTCATTTCTCCAATTTTTTGCGGAGCATCAAAAGTCAAGAAGTCAAAGTAACCACCTCCTATGGCGATTCCCCATGTGTTACCACTTTAAGGGCATAGACACTGTTGCCGTGGTACTTGTTCCCAATTTTGTGGGGATTATAGACCACAAAAGCGTTCCTTTTAACAAAAAGTGTTGTTAAAGGGCGTGTTTTTAACTAGTCTAAAGTAAGTTCCCGGGTGATTGTATCTATTACCGGTAAGCATATGCAAGGTGGAAAAGGCCGCTGACCTCGCAATGATCGAAATTCCGTCGTAATAAAAATGCATCTGGACGATAGTGCGAAAAACACGGTGGAACGAACGCTTCGAAAGGGATTCAGTTGTTAAGACGAAATCCGCATATTTCACAAGGGTCGTATGTTATCCTTTGATGTAGCCATTTTTAAGTGTAAATGGGAACGATGGAAACGCGGCAGATTGAGGTGTTGGTGGCCGCTGCACCTCATATGGTGTTCTGTAGCAGGTTGACAGCAATCAAACCACTTTTAGGTAGTTAAAATTGGAAGGACGTCAATGTTGTTCGAATGATCCTTCTACAAAGTATGCACCAAAAGCAGAGTAGCTCCCTTCTTCACCACGTCGTAACTGTTTAAATCTTCATGCAAAAAACTAAAGTTTATTTCCATCACCTTATTTTCGAGCAGGACAAGGTAGCAAGGAAGCCCTACAACCCAATAATTGGTGAGATCTTCCAATGCAGCTGGCGTCTCCCTACAGCCGAGAGGGGCTCCCCCGAGCAGATCTTAATAACATTTTGCGGTGAGCAAGTATCCCATCATCCACCTATCAGCGCCTTCCAAATCAATTGTCCTCAACGAAAAATTGAACTTGTGGGAGCCGTACACACCCAGTCGCAATTCCGCGCTCTCAGCATCTACGTCGACATGATTGGCAAAGGTATGTGGACGTGACTAATTATTCCGAGTTATCTCTAAAGGCAGACTATTATGAGAGGTCATTTAACTTACCAAAGGACTGAAAAGCTATGGTCCTGTCAAAGGACCTAGGGCACCAGCACGAAGAACTTGTGCAATATCTCAGCGCCAAGTTTGGAGAGATTTGTGCTCCCGGTGGTGGGACTGAGCTAGGTAGGTGTATTGCGTGGAGTGTGGGCTACGCTCCTGGTATAGAAAGTCATGAAACAGGGAGTTAGGGGTCAGAGAAGGAAGTTTAAATTTCACAAAATTGACCAGACTGCTATTGACAATGAAACAAACTCAGAAACTGCGAAGTTGCCGCACAATTGGCACGAGATAAATAAGTCAGTTTGTTAACTTTTTTAGTAAAAAGATCAAATAAACCAAGAAAGTTTCTTATAAGTAATTTATTCGTTGAAGTAATCATCATTAGTATCTGCCATTATTCCTTAATCAGACATAAACTTGCAAACTTTGCCTTTACGAAGGACTCTGTCTCTATGAGCAAGCAACCTTGTCTTAGCCATTTCAGTTTATTTCCAAGCTGTCTTCTTTACTTTACATATGATTGACTAATGTTGATGCCAGGATTAGGTGCTGTGCTTCGCTTGGAGAAATGGGAGGGGACTACAGACGAAAAAGTCTTTTTAAGGACATGCTTTGCGATAGGCCATGTTGTTTTTTGTCTTTTAAGAATGCAATTTCCTACAGTTTTATTGACCAGTACCAGCTGTTTTTAGAGAATGAGAAGAAGAAAAAGTTTTTTCTTGCACGTCTTCAAGCTGTATCATATTGTATAGTGTAGGCAAATCTTATCTCTCGGTGTTTGTCCTTCGGAAAGTGAACAATTCCGTCTGCATGTATAGCTCTTTATAAATGAAGCGGTGCCTAATCGAGAAGTGTGGGGTGGGCAGTAAGTAAAAAGTTTGGGGATAAAAAAAACGACCTGTTAGATCGTTAATTAAATTTTGGAATAAAATAACCGCCGTTTATCGTAAGTCACTCGGCAGATAATCCTTTTTCCACCTCTCGTTTACATAACGTAGACGAACCGAAGGCAAAACTGGCTCTATTTGCGGCTTGCTACCTGTCATCCCTTTAACGTATAGTATATGGAACCCAATGGCTTATCTTCTACGAATCTCCCTTTCTAGACGATGTAGATAAGAACGAATTGTATCATTACCACTCACGTAACATATCAGTGAAAACTGTTTCTTAAGTGTCAATCTCGAGGTAAGGTATCAGCAACGATGTGTAATTCTTCATGATCGAAAGGAACTGGACGGTACCCCTGAGCATGCTGCGTCGACATCTTTGAGTACTTTAATGCAAAAATCGCATAGTCTAAAGTGTTTCTAGACAGTGCGTCTTTGTCCCATTGCAAAAGTGGTGGTGGACCTCTAGAACCGTAGGATCGAGTTAACCTCTCTTCCCGAAGCCGGCAAGCTCGAACCACATCCACCGGGTTTAACTGTACTTTTGATGTAATGGATTTCAAAATGACGGGAAATTGCTACAGAATGCAATGAAAGGTATTGTGTCGATAAACTGCCACATGCCCGCGCCTTGTGATGTATTTAACCAGCGTCATTTTACGAGCCTCCACAGGTTACAACAAGTCATTGTTTGCGGAGAGTTATGTAGAAAACTTTTTTCGTTACCTAGTGTATACAACGTGACTGTTTAAGCATTCATGGGGTTAAGCGAGTCTTTCATCCCCGTGTTTTATCAGTAAGAACACCTGTTAATTCAGTCTTGAGAAATCTTGTTGTACGAAAGGGTAAATTTTGTCGTTTGTGACTTCGTCTTCTGCATATTCCAACGCTGAAATGAAGATAAAATATTTTTTATAACATTTACCGAACCGTAGGACTTATGTTAGTTTTGACTCTCTGGAACATCATCATTTTCCAGAATTTTTAACACGTGGTACAGCCGGCTAATATTTGATCCAAGCCTCGACAACTCTGCTTCCTAAATTTACTTCGCCATTCTGTTAAAGAATCTGCAATGTGGTAATAAATTGGCATCATTTCCGACTCGAGTTGATTTAAAACTCTCACGCAAAAGTTAATTGTAATTGCAAAACACAAATTTAGCTTTATTAAGTTGACTTAAGTCTAGCTGTCGTTGCAGTTTGTGAGCGTTTTACGCAACAGACCCAGATGTGAGGTCGAGGATGGAACTCACTGGAACGCCATTAAAACCTCGGCAATTCATCCAAATGTGCGACAACTTCTCTTCCCTCAAGAATTCAAGGTACTTTTAAAGACCAAATAAAGTGACAGCAAAAAGCATTTCAAGCGGAAGCAAAAGTCCTCAGCCATTGTTTTTTTTACGGCTTCTAGAAGTCATACGGGTGAGTTTTTAGTCGTGAACACTGAAGTTCGGCCAGCGCAATGGGATATCGGAACTCGGGTTATTATTTTACGGTAGGGAAGTACAATAGACTATCACTTACAATAGGTTAGGGTATTTTATTTCCTTCAACTGCTACTGCAATTTAAGTGTCACTGCCTCCAAAGTGACTATCATCACTGCTTTCAATGCTCAGATATTCTTTCATGTGGTTTGATTGTGCTCAACCACATTCATCACACCGTACAACTTTTGCTACGGCACGAAAATACAAAGAAGAAATTTGTTTTTGTGTCTACAATGAAGTTAACTCAATGGTTAATGTCCTGCCTGTGGGACTTATTAATGTAACCATCCCTTTTACCAACTCGAAATAGGCCATTGATGGAGTTAATAAAAGCAGGTGAAATTGGGAAATATAGCCCTACTAAATCTGGCAGGTGTACGCCCTTTGCCCTTCCAAATGGCGCTCCTTTTAGTAATTCCCTGAACACATATTCATTTTGATTAAGCAAGATTAAGAAAACGAGAAAAGTCATTCCTTCCAAGCAAGCCTTTAAAAGAGCCTAATTTTATTACTATGCCTTAGCAACCACCCAAGGCACACAGTTGGCTTAACCTGATCTCGACTGTCATTGTATCCTATTTTCTGTTAAATCTGGAACTGATGGGGAAATTGGCAGCTGTGGTGGGTAAGTTACAGATGGCAGCAATTCATTAGCAGCCCGAATGAAGAATGACGATCCAGCCTTAAAAATCGTATCTGCATTTGAAGTACAAATAGTTCTCCCTCCCAATTTGTACATCCTTATTATTTGCGCTCCATCTCTCATTGGGGATTCCGTAAGATAACATTTTTAAACGCAATTTGTCAGGGGTAATAAAGTTGTTTGAATAGAGGCGTTCCTATCGTGTACCCCCTTTAAGGTGTAAATGGAAACAGTATGAAAAGATGTCTCTCAAGGCTACTGCTTAACGTGGTTGTTTTCTACATGCCGTATTAGATGGAGTTTTACGACCTTGTAACTATTTAGCTACATACAGGCTGCAAAAAGTCTTACTCGCCCAAGTAGACTAAGCGTCGGCGGTGTCGGTCTTTCTACATTGCACGTATCTAACCTGAGTGAATCGCCACATAGTACCACCTTGATTTGTGCTTTTAATTTACCGCAGTCTACTTGAAAACCACCCCAAAAGGAAGCTCGCTACTTCAACCAAAGTTTGGCGATGCCTTTAAGGGGATTAGCCCCTGCCAAACAGAACTTCACTAACTGAGCCACTAATCCACTCAACTTTGCTTCCCCTATTTTGGTTCGTGTTCCAATTCTCGATAGAGCGATGCTGAGTCCTTTTGTGGTGATAACGGTATTGTGAATGCACATCGCACTCGCCCCTCAACGGAACAATAATTGCAATGGACTTTCGTCAAGAAGATAATTGCCTTTACTAGCAGGAAGTAAGCTTTTGCTTGAGCTGCGAGGAGCATTACGCTACTGCCAATGATAACTCTTTTTCTCTGCTGCCGGAATTTCAGTCATCCTGAAGCTGGGCGAACATAACGAAGAATACATCTTCTCTCTGCCCACTGCCTACGGCCGCTCGATTCTCAAGGTGCCCTGGTTCGAGCTTGGGGGTACCATCCCCGTCGAGTGTCCCCAGTCCGGCTACTCGGCTCGCATCCGATTCTACACAAAGGCAAGTCACAACACTTTCACAACTTCATGAGTAAGAGGTGGAAACCTCTCATTTCCTCATCTGGTCAAGATGGGGTGCATGTTTGTGTTATAAATAACTCAATTTTCATTTTTTTTAACATGGTTTGGATACCACTCATCCAATTAATGAACACCTTTTAATTTCGGGTCTCCTCTAGCTCGATTAAGGCAACTTGAGCAAAT